TGAATATGGCAACAAATCAGCTTTGGATTGGAGAATGCAAATTACGTATGTGGGAACATAACAGTTATGATAGTGATGGTCCAACAGCCGCATGCATGACTATTGATGATCAGGTACGAACACTTCTGACACCCGTAGAAGGCATCATCCCAAGCACGGCGTTCAGGAGATTGCACCAACTGATTCGGAGTAAGGAAGCAGCTTTTGCATGGGAAGGGTCCTTACCAGGTCGTACCAACACAATCTGTCATCAAATCGACACCGGCACAGCTGAACCGATAACACAGAGACCTCGTCGTGTCCCTACCCAGTATCGTGAGGAACTGAGAAAAATGATTGAAGATATGTTAGACGCCAAGATCATCATCCCATCGAAGTCACCGTGGTCATCTCCAATAGTCCTTGTGAAAAAGAAGAACGGATCTCTTAGGCTGTGCATAGACTATAGGAAACTCAACGACGTGACACGTAAGGACTCATTTCCCCTGCCCCGTATTGACGACACTTTGGAGGCCCTTAGCGGAGCTCAATGGTTTTCTACGCTTGATCTAGCTTCTGGCTACTGGCAGGTTGAAATCGACCCAAAAGATAGAGAAAAGACCGCATTCATCATACCCTCTGGTCAATTTTCAAACCAGTCAATTTCAAACCATGCCATTTGGACTGACCAACGCTCCAGCTACGTTTCAGCGTTTGATGCAGATTGTACTTAGAACCTTGATTCCCAATCAGTGTCTAGTGTACCTAGACGACGTAATTGTACACGACCGCTCGTTAGAACATCTAGACAACCTCGGGTTGGTGCTGCAACACTTACATGATGCTGGGTTAAAGTTGAAACCACAGAAGTGTCAATTACTTAAGAGACAAGTCACATTTTTGGGGCACATCATTACGCCCTCTGGGATCCAGAGTGACCCAAGCAAAGTCGAGACTATCCAAGGGTGGCCGGTCCCGACCTCCGCCGAGGATGTACGCCAGTTCCTGGGGCTAGCATCTTACTACAGGCGTTTCATTCGAAACTTCGCCGACATAGCTGGGCCTTTGCACCGCTTAACGGAGAAAGGAAGAACATTCAACTGGACGCCTCAGTGCGCTAAAGCATTCGAATTCTTGCGACGGGCCCTCACAAACTCACCGATCCTATCGTTTCCTGACCTCTCCCCTTCGGCTGGTCAGTTTATCCTTGACACTGATGCGAGCGACACCGGAATCGGCGCCGTCCTGTCCCAAGTTGGATCCGATGGACTCGAACACGTGATTGCGTACGGAAGCCGGTGCCTGAGCAAACCAGAACGCAACTACTGTGTCACACGCAAAGAACTGCTGGCGTTAGTGGTTTACACTAAACATTTTCGACATCTTTTACTTGGTCAACGGTTTGTCGTTAGAACTGACCATCAAGCGCTCAAATGGCTACAGAGCTTCCGCGACCCAGAAGGTCAAGTCGCTCGGTGGCAAGAACTGTTGCAAGAGTACAATTTTGAGTGTATCCACAGACCTGGCCGACAGCACTGCAATGCAGATGCTTTGTCTCGACGTGGCGGAAAACACCACATCAATTGCCCTTCATGCTCCCAACATCGGATAGACATCGTTTCTCTTGACAACTCAGACAGCACGGAGTGGACTACCTTGCAGAAGGATGATCCAGAGCTAAAACTTATCTACCACCGGCAGGTCACCGACGGAATCAAGCCTTCGAGAGCTGAGATGGCAGGCTTTAGCTGGGAAGCACACTGCATTTGGTCAGCCTGGTCGCGCCTGACTATCCACGACGAAATACTTTATTACCAATATGGTTCGGGATATGTCAAACGGATAGTAGTGCCGCAGTCAAGAGTCAACGCTATTTTAAAGGAACTTCACGCCGAACTTGGACATCCTGGTCAGCGAAAAATGGAAGAAGCTGTAAGTCAGCGGTTCTGGTGGCCTGATCAGCGGAGAGACATCGTTAATTTCTGTAATAGCTGTCAAGAGTGCCTCCGCGCAAAACCACCCCAACAGCCCCATCGAGCACCACTGCAAGCTATAGCGACAGGATAACCAAATCAAATCGTCGCGGTCGATATTGTGGACCCGTTACCAGAAACACCCAGGGGTAATCGTTTTGCTTTAGTTATGGTGGATCACTTCACCAAGTGGTGTGAAGCCGTTCCATTGTCGTGCACTAATGCAACTATGGTAGCCAGAAACATCTTTGAGCAATGGATCACTCGCTGGGGCGCACCGGAGCAGCTACATTCCGACCGGGGATCAAACTTTGAGAGCATTATCGTATCGGAGATGTGTCACCCCTTAAACATCCGCAAGACACGCACAACGGCATACCACCCACAGGGGAACGGAGCAGTTGAACGCGCTAACCGGTCCCTGAAAGCGCTCTTGAAGGCCTTCACAGACGAAAACGGGTCTCGAGAATGGGACATCGCACTTCCGCACTGTCTCCTGGCGTATCGTGCAACGATCCACAGTTCCACTGGTCACTCGCCACATCTATTGGTTACCGGCAGAGAGATGCGGCTGCCATTTGACCTCACACTACCACGACTGGCCACTGATCCACTACTGGCAACGGAATACGCCACAAATTTGCGAAACTAAGTATGGCACGGACCGATTGTGGTGGATGAAGTTTATGATGATCTCACATGCAGAGTGACAGATAGGGGTCGATCGTTTGTGGTGCATTTTAACCGACTCAAACCAGCCACGATGAGCCACCAAGGCGAAGCACGTCCTAACGAATCAGAAGCACCTGTCCCAGCTGCAACAGAATGCGTAGAAATTACGACTAGCCCTAGTGTTATCGAAACACAGACTGTTGAGTGCGTCGCGGGCGACGCCAATTTTTTTTGGGGGGGGGGAATGGTGTAGTGGTATCTGCCATATGTGTCTTATCTCACCATATTACGTCTCTTTCTCCACTTTTCACAGGTGCTACGTACGTACCTCTTCACAGTGGAATGAGCCCGAAGAACGATGCAGAACATTAACTCTTTTTATCAACTGTTACTCACCGATTCCATTGTACCTCTTTGTTGCTCTCTGACTCTGCGAATACACATTCCCGGGCGCATGCTCTTTTCTCGCTCTTCTCCAGTTCGGCTGCTGTGTTGTGCACTCTAGACACTCCAATCCGAGAGCTAACATTCGCTCACTCTTTTCAGCTTACCGAACCTACTACGGATTTCACTCGGACTATTGCGCACTACACTGTTGCTCTCCTTGTCGGTACGTCCATTATTCGCTTCACACACGTCTTTTTATGTAACCAGCCTTACGTAACCGTTTGTTAAGTTAATATTTCATGTTCTAGAAATGCGTAGTCGTTTAACAAGACGTCGTTGTTCGTTTGCGTTACCTTCTGCACGCACATTTAGAATGCGATTGTTGCTTTTGCGTAGACTCGCTGAGCGTGAGGCATTCCGTGTGCGCGATGATAGCCCTACTGGTAACGTGGATGCAATTATGGGAGGTAAGGTTCACAGACAACCTTTTAGTGTGTTTGTAGACTGCTGCATCTCGCCACCGCGTAACCTTTCAGATGCGGACCACAACCGCTGTGTACGCGATTCCACCGACGTACTTTCCGTTCAGTCATCAAGGACGGAAACCGAGAGTGATGACGTGCAAACCATGAGCTGCGAAATAGGGGAGCATGATTGCACTGCACTAGATGTGACTACGTCACCGAAGCCGTGTGATGAGGCACGTAGTTTCCTGGCATCATGGGTGCTTAATACAAACACCTCGGCTTGGGCTGTTAACAAGCTTCTGGAAGGGTTGCGTAAGTTTATACCGTCTCTACCGAAGGATTACCGGACGTTGATGAAAACTCCAAGAACCACTAACGAGATGGAGGTACATCCTGGTACGTATGGTCACATGGGGATAATTTACGGTCTGAAGATGGCTTACCGGTGCGAAAGTGTGCCCACCTACCAGAGCATTCACCTGCAGTTGCATGTGGATGGGTTCTCACCATTTAATTCATCCGGTGTGCAAGTTTGGCCCATTTTGTGTAGGTCGGTTGCGCCCTTGATATCGCATCCCTTTTTGGTTGGGGTGTACTCGGGTCCACGAAAACCGTGGAATGTACATCACTTCTTGGCTCCACTTGTAACTGAATTGAGAACGTTACTTCGAACAGGCGTGATGTTGCCCGGTCGATCTGCACCAAACGCAGTGCGTATCTCTAATATCATTTGTGAAGCCAGATCATATGTGAAGCGTAGTAAAGCACAATCTGGGTACGGCAGCTGCGACAAATGTGTGCAGCGAGGTGTTTATGTCTCTGGGAAAGTAACCTTTCCTTGCACCGATTGCCGCCTGCGTACCAATGAGTCCTACCGTGCGCACTGCCGTAGCAAATGGTCACCATTTGAATACTTGCCCATAGACATGGTGGAGCAGTTTCCTATAGACTATATGCATGCTGTTTGCTTGGGTGTTATGCGACGCCTGATATCGTTGTGGACAACTGCAGCCGCTAGCAAGAATTTTCGCTTGGATATGAACACTGTGTCACGTCTTAACGATGTGCGTGACATGAATCGGTGTCATTGGCCGCGTGATTTTCCACGCCGTTGTAGAAGCGTAGATAAGTTCAGATGGTGGAAAGCGTCTGAATTTCGGCAATTCTTGTTGTATGCCGGACCAGCGGTTCTTGTGGATATTTTGCCCCTGGACTATTACGTCAATTTCTTGGATTTGCATTTAGGTATTTATCTGCTTTGTCCTCCATTGCTATTCAGAAAATGTTTCTCTTTTTGCACATAACGTACTTATGGTGTTTATTTCGCGTTTCTTCAAACTGTATGGGGCTGAAGAAATGACATTCAACATGCATTCCCTGTGTCATTTGACACAAGATGCGTATACGCATGGGACACTAGATGATTTCTTCGCGTTCCCTTTCGAATCTTACATTAGGTGTCAGAAAAGGCGGATACGAAGCCCAGTGAACATCGTACCTCAGCTATTGCGACGGTGTATGGAGTTCCAGGGAAACTTTTGCAAGGGTAATCAGCCCTCCAACTTATGTGAAACTATAGCCCTCGTCGAAATAAATAGGAAAATGGGTTTCAGGTTAAATGGGACCGTGTTTTTCCCATGCAAACCGGACAACGTAATCATCGTAGGAAAGAAACCGTACCAAATCGTATCCCTGCACCCGGACGTGGGCGAAACTGCATATGTTAACTGCGCATCTTTCCTACATCTCAGAGATTTATACGTCCATAGTATGCCATCGTCCAGGCTACACATTTATGTTGCTAACGGTGTCTGATGACTTGCGGCGGTTTCCTATTCATGACATCCTATGCAAATATGTATGTTTCACCGTCGGTTTAGACGAAGTCATCATCCCACTGCTGCATACATTTAGAACGCAAAAACCCAGGGTGCCGTAGCTTTGCGTTCTTGTTGCTGTATGCAATGATGACAAGGTATGCGTGCTGCAGGATCCCCTTAGATATAGTGTTAACCGCATTTGCCGGCTATGCGTCTTTATTAATGGTGTGTCAATGTCAAGCAACGCCCGCATTAAAGACTATGGAACGCTATTGCATGCGGCGCTGATTACACTACGTTTGGTGGCAGCTTACATTTTGCAGGGGCAATTAGACATGCGTTTTATCCGCATTGTAAATGTGACCATTTCATTATCCTTCTGGTAGCACTTTATCCGGAGACGCCAAAAAAAAACGCAAAAACTTTTGAAAAAGACAAAAAAATTCAAACATTTAAAGAACCCAAGGAATGCGGACCATGTTGACAACACGTAATCAAGTACCTCTGTTCATTTGTGCCCACAGCCTCCGGTAAGTGCCGCTTTTTGTTATGTCGCAGTTATGCAATGTCACCTCAGTAATTTCCCTTGCACTTACGAACACGGAAAGATGGATCGGAGGGGAACTTGCGACATTCACGACCTGAGGAACATTGGAAGGTCACGAAGTGACAATGTTGTGTTTCTGGCATCATTACGGAGGACACGCATTAAAATATACTCGAGTATATGCATGGGGATGGTGCAATCCGTGTCCGTCCCATGACGTTGATCCGCGACCGTACTCTCCACTCGGCGTGCGTCCTCGAAATGCACTGCAAATGATTAAATGAATGTGCTTACCTGTACGATGAAGAACCGTCACTGGAAACATTTTACAATCAGCAATGGGGTATCTATGCTCGCGCACCGCCTGGTGGTAATCGAACAGGGGAAGGTTGGGCAAAAGACCATGCTGCCCGTCCTCCAAAAGCCATCTGCTGCTAATTGTGGTCACCTGGGACACACCGTCGTGCGTGTAAGTGACAACACAGAAATCCCACAGCGGCATATCTGTAGAAGCCATTACATACGTGATTACCGTGAGCATCCAACTCCTGGACGCCCCCGGAAAAAGCGGGAACACGGGCAACACAAACAACCACAGACTACAGATGGAACACTCGGAAGTAATCTATGGAAAGATCTTTCCATAGATTACTTCCAAGTGTTCCATCTGTAGTCTGTGGTTGTTTGTGTTGCCCGTGTTCCCGCTTTTTCCGGGGGCGTCCAGGAGTTGGATGCTCACGGTAATCACGCATGTAATGGCTTCTACAGATATGCCGCTGTGGGATTTCTGCCTTGTCACTTACACGCACGACGGTGTGTCCCAGGTGAGCACAATTAGCAGCAGATGGCTTTTGGAGGACGGGCAGCATGGTCTTTTGCCCAACCTTCCCCTGTTCGATTACCACCAGGCGGTGCGCGAGCATAGATACCCCATTGCTGATTGTAAAATGTTTCCAGTGACGGTTCTTCATCGTACAGGTAAGCACATTCATTTAATCATTTGCAGTGCATTTCGAGGACGCACGCCGAGTGGAGAGTACGGTCGCGGATCAACGTCATGGGACGGACACGGATTGCACCATCCCCATGCAAACATCACCGAAACGAGTTATGTAATGCGCTACACAAGTGATAACGCAATGCATTGCAGACGCCTGCCAGCGAAACTACGTGATTATGGGGATGATAATCTACCAACAAGAAAAAAAACGCAGCAACGCTCCCGCATCTGCAAGCTATGGGAGGTTTCCTGATTTCTCGTTGGAGGAGTTGGCGCGGCATAGCACGCCTACTCAGAATGCTGATGACGTCCAGGAGGATTCCCACATGCGTAAGTTCCCTTTTCCGTAATTCCGTTTTCCGCAACAGGTGGATGTAATGAAGTATCCGTTCAAACGGAGGGTATCAAATGCTGTAAGTCTTCCGGTTTTGCGCTTTAGATACACGCCCTGGCAGGCAGGTGTCATGAAGCAGACAAAAGGATCATGCACACTTTGTACTCTGTGGTCGGTGTGTTTGAGCTTCTTACTTGCGACGAATTAGCAGATTCACTTAGACGCGTGGAGGAGACCCTTCACGTATTGAAGGAGAGCCACGCGGCCATGAGCCAGGCCATGTGGACTGCGAAACCGATGCAACCAACTGAGTTATCTCTACCTACCTCAACCATTGAGGAATTCATGGACTTGGAGGGGAAATTGGTGGACCCCGACCTCCGTC